ATGGGAATGGAAGCAGATGTCTGTTCTCTACTTGCCTAACCCTTTCATTGCTGTGTGACCTGGACCTTGAGAGAAAGAAAGTGGGGGTACTGCAGACATCTTATGCCTATGGATGGAAAGAGTGGCTTCTTGGAATAATAATAGCTAACATTTAAATTGCATTTTTTGTCAGGCACTGCAATAGCATTTATATGAACTTCTATAATCCTTGCAACAATTCTGAGTGGATAGTATTTCTCCCATTTAATAGATATTTATCTGCTCACTGCTTATAGCAACACTATGAACTGGATAGTATTATTAATGGCTCCATTTCATTGATGAGGAGACTGAGTCACCAAGAGGTTTAATCACATGGCCAAATCTAGGCAGACCTAGGACTGGAATGCAGTCCTTTTAACGGTAGACTGGGACCCTCACCATTGGTGCTGTGTTACAAATGCTGGGCTCTCACGGTTCACCATTTTCATTTATAGTGGAGGACCTGGGTCATGGGGACAGGAAGTTATCCAAGGTTTGCAACTTGGAGCAGAGAGCCCCAGACATCTTGCTGCCCAGTCTATGACACTTTTCCCAATGCACAGGACCCTCCTAGGTGATCAGCTGAGACTCTGGGGCCTAAAAAGTGAGGCAGAAAGGAATTTAGTAAATATCTTCTCCTACCATCTTCTCCTGCAGGTGAGCAAATGGTATCTGCCTTTTGGGGGATGTTCAGCTGGCCCACCTTCTCCTCAGGCCTCCTTTGGGAGGATGAGTAGCTTACAGTGACCATGCAGGAATTGGGAGGAGGGCAGGGGAGCTTTCCTCCGTTTGGGATACACTTATACACAGACCCTCAGGATGAATCTGCAGACCCAAAGCAAATGTGCCTCCCCAGTTAGGGAACTTCCACCTAGTTTGACCCTGTCAGAATGGGACTGGGATATGGGGACCACTTGTGTGAGCCTGGGAAGCCAGAGGCCTGGAGGAGGCAGCCAGAAATATCTCAGACACTCTGCCCTAGGGACCAGACAGGAAGAAGAGGAGGAATGGGGTGGGGGCGGGGGACAGGAGTCTTCATGAATACTATCCCAGGCCCTCTGCTAGCTTCTCTCCTTCCCTGAGACCAGACTTTGGCTGAAAGGGCCTGCAAGTTCCAGGTAGCAGACATGACAATCCCCTCTTGAGGAGAAGGGGGCTCTGCAGTGTTGGGTTCTTACTAGGGGCCTTAGTGGGAAGGGAGAAGATATCTGACTGTTACCATCTCACGGAACAGGAAGGGAGGCTTAGAGATGGGAGGGGGTTTTCTTGTTTATGAAGGAGGATGTGGGACTGGACTGAACCCTGTCCACTGACCCTAGGGCCTGCTCTCCAATTCAGCCCAGCTGCCACTCTTCACTGACACCGTGAGGCTTGAGGGGCAGGGCTGGGAAGGGCTGACCACCCAGGGGGTCAGGGCTGCTGCACATTCCTAGGGCCCCAATTCCCTCCCAGCTGGCCTGTTCCAGACACCTAGGAATCAGCCGCCACAAAGATGGAAGCATCGCCAGCCCTCCTGAGAGCAGGAGGCAGCAGAAGCACAGACCCCTGGTTGAAGTTTGCTGTCTGCTTGATTTTCCCCCAGTCCAGCCTCTTTGAGTGGGTTGGGGCCCATGCACACACCCAGTGTCCAAGTTCAGCAGCCAGGCAGTGGGGAGGGGTGACCCAAGCTGGGGGTTATGGTTCTGAGGCTGGGCTGTGGATCAGCTGTTTGGGCCCACCCCCAGGGCCCTATCGGGTGCTGCCTGCAGCTGAGGAGAGTTTCCACCTCCCAGACACGGAACATCCCTCTGGGATTTGGAGAGGACAAGGAACCATCCTGGCTGTGGGCAGCCCACAGAGTTCCCAGGCTCTGCCCGACCCCACACTAACCTCCTTTCCACTGTGCACCCCCGCACTGTGCAAGGCTGGGGGTAGGGACAAGGAAAGGAGTCTGCAGCAGACTCTGAGCTTTTCTAGAACACAGACTCGGCCTTGTTCATCTCTGTCCACATGATTGGCACACAGTAGGGGTCTGTTAAGTGGAATCCCAGGCCCTAACCTAAGGCAGTCCCCACCCAGTCTGTTTGGGAAGTCACAGCCCCTGTTCCGGGGGACCCTCAGTCTGATGGGGGAGACATAGCCCTTGCCCTGGGAGACAGCTCCCACCCCACCTCCAGGCTGATGGAGAAGTTTCTTCATACAGGGAAGCCAGTAGCTTGCACTGCCTGATCCGGGAGTCAGGATTCTGGCCTGTGCTTTGAAGCTGTACTGCACTGACTTGCAAGAGCTACCCATCCCCTCCAGGCAAGTTCTTCATCTTAGACAGAGTTTGGATCTGATTTCAAAGGTTCTGTTCAGCTTGAACATCTGAGTTTGACAACAAACATGTTGTTTCTCCAGGAAGAGTAGTGACATCACAGAGGGCTTCCAAAAGCTTAGCTTTAGATGGAATGGTTCCTGGGGGTTAGTGGCCTGAAGCCATCTAGGATGTGGCATCAAGAAACCTTCACGTGGTTTCTTCATGCCTACACCTCTGCATGCCCCACCTGTTCACTCCAGGGACATCTGTTGAGTATCTGCTTCGTGCCCACTACAGGTATTGTGCATAGCTTCAGTATTTTGGGTGCCTGAGGATCATCTATCTGTGAGACCCATGGTGGGGGTGGGGTCAGGAGAGTTGGGATTCTTGTCCAACAGAATAACCTCTCGTGATTTTTTTTTTTTTTTTTTTTTTATGTGAAATTTTTCCAGGAATTTAGCCCAGGGGCACTAAACCACTGAGCCACATACCCAGCCCTTTCAAAAAATTTATTTAGAGGGGCTGGGGTTATGGCTCAGTGGTCGCGTGCTCACCTAGCATGCATGAGGCACTGGGTTCAATTCTTAGCACCACATAAAAATAAACACAATAAAGTCCATCAACAACTAAAAAAAATTTTTTTTATTTAGAGACAGGATCTCACTGAGCTGCTTAGAGTCTCCCTAAGTTGCTGAGGCTGGCTTTGAACTTTCGATCCTTGTGCCTCAGCCTCCTGAGTCACTGGGATTACAGGCCTGAGCCACAGCACCTGGCATAACCATTCTCTTGAGCTGAAGTGTCCACGTTTCTACTAACTACACTGCCCACTGACTTCTTGGCAGGTGAACCAGGAGTGTGTGCTGTTCAGGAAGGTAGAGAAGAGGCAACTATCAGTTGCTTCTTTGGGCCATTGGCGAAGCTCTGGGTGGGGTGCTTTCATATTACCTCACCTAACCCTTAATACCAGTATTTTAAAGCTGAGAAACTGAGGCCTGGAAAAGCAAAGCAGCTTATTCTAGGGGCTGATGGTAACTGGATTTATTCCTGAGATCTTTCCAGTCCATAGTGGGTACTCTGGGTGCTGGACAAGCAGCCTACAGAAGAGGAGGCTGAGGGTAGAGAAAGGATCCGGGCACTCTCCTCCCAAGCCTCAGACTTTGAGCCCTCAGCTGTGACAGCTGACAGCCTGAGTAACTGACTAGCAACCAGCTCAATCTCTAAACTAAAATGGAATTAAGAATCATCTCAGCCCATTGTGAAAGTCAGGCTGGAGTGTCCTCTACAAAATCTCCTGGAAGTGTTGAAGTGTTCATCCCCTTGGTTGTTCTCAAGGTCAGGGGGTTCACTTCATCCAAGGACAGTCCCACATGGTTAGAATTCACCCTCATACTGAGCTAGAATCTGCCTCCTTGCAACTCCCATCTCCTGGTTGGTCTGAATTTTAAAGAGAAAGAAACTGAGAACAGAAAGACATTAAATAATTCCTGCCCCAGTCCCAGCTGGGGAGAAGCAGAGTTCGTTTGCAGGGCCTGTGTGGATCCACAGCTTGCCTTCTCCCCAGCAGCCCTCCAGGAAGATTGGTTTTCTCCCCACAGACTCCTTCTGGATC